GTGTGCGAGTTTGCGAAATGCAATTTTGCAGCAGCTGCAGTCAACATGTTGCTGGTGTGCTTTTGTGGCTTTGTAGCCCACCACAATGCCGAGAACCCACCACACCCGTTTGTAGCATTCGTATTCGTATCCGTGAGTACGTGTATCTGTGAGTTAGCCAGTGGCCGTATCTGTGTGTGGGATTGCACGTGTTTCGCCAAAGGATTACCACTCAGACCATTGTGCTTAAAACTCAGCTGTTGTTCTTGGTCAGGAGTACAGAAAGAAAAACTCACTCTAAACGATGATCAATTTGAAAGAGTGTTTACCAAGTGCCTAATTGGTATTACATAAAGAAAATTATTTTCAAAGTGTTTTTTGAGAATCATAAAAGGTTTTTTTTTTATTAAATTAAATTTAATAATATGTTAACTTTTTTTAACAATCCAATATTTAATTTGTGCACATACTTGTTTAGATATCAGCTTGTTTGTCAAAATTGATTATATAAAATGTAACTGATTCTAATTAATAACTATGCAAAAGTAGTTGTTGAAGGGATAACAAATTTAAAAACAGCTTAAACTTTTTCGAGTAAGTTGCATATTTGCATATATTTTATCTGACTTTTTTCTTCGAATCCCGACGGCTTCTGATGCCAGTAGGAAGTGAAACACATACTGTTTATATGGGGCTTTATGTTCAGTGCATTGTTGACCGTGTTGCTCTTGCTGTTGTGGGCTTGTCGCCTGACTGACATTTCCTTTTGATGCGCCTACGTGCCCGCTTTGGCATATGCATTAGTTGGCCCCCAGAGGGGCGGTGGAAGGGAGCGCGGGGGGCGGGGCAACTTCAATGATCGAACGTGACATTTTAGCCCCACACAACACAGAGCACACAACTCAGAAGGCCCAGAACTCTTGGCTCAAAACTCAAAAGTCTTGCGCATGACGTTGCTGCCAAGTGGGCAAAAAAAAAAAAAAAAAAAAAGGGAAAAGCGGGCAATAAACAACCGGCTTGAGTGAGTTTTTCCCGCCTCGAGTCTGTTTTTTCTCACAGTCAATTGCATTGTTTTTGCTCAGCCGCTAATTGTGGGTGTTGTTCTTGTTTCGGTGATGCAACCATTAGACAAACAATTTGCGCGGCTAACATGGCTGGAAATGCATGTCAAAAGTGTCTATCAAGAGGGAAAAATGAAAATAAAAATTATTGAATTTTTATTGCAACAAGATAAATTCTTATTTCATCAATAAATTAATCCTATTCCACCTTTTTGGGAAACTAGATTTTTATTGGAAATCAATAAAAGTTAATTCCTAAAATCAATCCCATTTTCCAATTAACGTTTTCAACCGCTTCTAGTTAACAGTTTTCCTATAGAACTCCTTAATTGCTTCTTATTACACGGCAGGTAAAATCCGAGCCAAATAATCCTCAATGACGGGCATCGCCTAAGGAGGAAGGCCACGCCCCTTCACCTGGAAACCCCGGGCTAATTACGATGCACACACCTCGGGGTCACAAAGGCAACACTTGTTGTTCGCCTTTATCTTTATGACATAATCTCTGCCCAGCTGACCACAAATTACGGCCCAGGAATTCTATTCTTCGCCGCTCATCGGCTTGGCGTTTGGATTTTTCCCACTAATCAACAGATTTTCCCTCAACTCAGCGGCAATTTATGGGCAAAGAGGAGCACAAGCACATGTTCGATTCGGGATGCTAACAAAGAGACAGATGCAGATACACCAGATACGGATCGTTTTAGGGATCGCAGCGTATTTATTACATCACAGCCAGAAGAATTCAGAAAAAAATAAAGGAAGGAGAATAACAGAAGGGGTGAATGCAATCACAGAACTCGGCGGTAAAAACCGAAAGTGCCATGAGGTAGTGGTAGCCTATAGACCTACATAACGCAGGGTCACCCGATAACAACAGGATAAAGAACGTGAAAAGGGCTCCGAACAACCGGCAGCCCGGCAACTCGGCATTGTTTCGCTTTCATTCAGACTCGGGGAATCGGTCCGAGATTCAGATTCAGATTCAGATTCGAGCGGATCCCCCCGAGGAAAGGAAAGGAAAGGAAGCCAGCGGCAGAGGCAGAGGCAGCCAGCAATAAATCAAAGACGTTAAGTTGAATGCACCACAAAGAGGCAAGGAGGCAAAGGCGGATGCAAAGTCGTCACCAGCTCGTTGGGAACCTGAGGACGCGGACCTTGAGAACCTTCCTCCACTGGTCCTACCTCAATGAGGGATCTTGAAAAACAAATCTCAATGCGAATAATATAAAAAACACAACAAAAAATACTAAACTTGAAGAAGGAAGTCGGGACCATGTGACGTTTGTTTTGAGAAACGTCAGCTGAGCGAAAAGGGAGCTCTTGGGAATCTTTGGGGTTAATTCTTGCCAAAAGGGTTCGTCCATCGGGCATCTTTTTGGGGGGACCGGGGAAAAAATGGCATAATTTGCTTAAGGAAACTTTTCCAATTTATAAATGACAAACACACAAAGGCGACCGAAGAGCGTCCGGGCATAATGAGGAAAACTTGGAAACATTTTTCCCCCAACCAAACTCGAGAAGACATTTTCTCCTTTCTAATTAAAGTGCCTGGAGATTTGCATAAAAGGAGTCCGACGGAAAAAGGAGCAAACGTTTAAGCATTAATCAAAAAATCAGCTGAAAATTAAAAACGAAGCCCAAAGAAGAGGGGATAAAGGAGAGGGGAGGTGGCGGCATAAAGCAAAAGGTACGAGAGCAAAGGAAAAGGATAAAAATGTGCTGATGAAGCGACGGTTGAAAGTCCGAGCGAAAAGCGTACAGACAAAAAGAAAGGATTGTCTGGCGCTGTTGGGTTTTTTTTTCTACGGCGGAGAAGGAGTAAAACAGTGGGTGGTGGGACTTAAAGTTGGCGAAGAAAGATTTAAAAATAATGACATAAGAGTATTTACCACTAATGGTCAAAGTTTTAAGCCCGAAAAAAGAAGGATTATTTACGCGAAGTCTGATATTTAATCTTTTCTTGCAGCTTACTTGCGAAGGATAAGCGAAACTTTTAAAAATGTGTGTAAATTAAGAAAATTCGATAATTAAATTTTTCTTCTACTTGACCAACTCCAAACTATCTGCTTTGGAAAGTTTTAATTTAATCTTGAGTTTCGGCTGCATGGGTTTTTTAATTTGGGTCACCTTTGGCTATATGTATCCCCACATGCATCGAGTGGAGAAGATGCAGATACAGATACATGTGATGCAGAAACGCCCAGACACGTGTAAGCTTCCTTTGCCCCCCTGAGAAGCGCCTTTATAAATATATATGAACACATTTCACTTGCTATTATTTGGGTTGGTTTCGGTTGCTGCCGCTCTGTCGTTTTTGTTTATGTACGAAATTCTTCGTTTTCTTCTTGTTTTCGGTTGTTTTTAATGATGAGACTGGGAGTGGGATTTTCGGTTCCCGTCAGTCCAGTTCTGAATCAACAGCGTTGAAGCTGCCAATCTGCACTTCAGTGCTCTCCACATCCCCGCCTTCTTTTTTCCACCCAAGTCAACCGCAAGTGCACTGCGGCAAAATTTCAATTAATTAGGGATTTTCTTTAAAAACTCAGCAAGAGTTATTCATAAAATATAGGGAAACAAAACTGAAAATCATAGATAAAACTGCAAGACCTATTTTAAGTTCCCATTTTTAAAATGTAAATTAATTCCACAAAATGGTTTGGAGTTTTTCGAATTTTGTTTAATAAACTTTATAAAATATTCATACTTTCGGTCAGTGCAAATTCCCACTGACAATCACTGAGAAAAGGGGGGACACATCGCGGTGAGGCTGGGCAAGACGAGGATGCTGAATGATGTGGATGCGACTGTGAATGCAAAATTCTCGCAGTGGGTCGGCGGTTGTTTAAGTGGTCCTTGGTAAGCGGCTGCCAGCTTAAAACCGTAATGCGCTTTACCAACTTCACTTCACTTTGGCCAGTACACTCCACATTTACTTTCGTGTGCGCCGATACATCTGAATGTACGTATATTTAAAATAAACTCTTCGAGCCGCTGATGAAATATCAATATTGAAGCAGTGGCAGAGGAAATTTTAATTCGATAGTCGTGAGAGACAAGCTGGCAAAAAAAAATATGTATAAAAAAATATAAAAAAAGGAAGGGGCATAAAGAGAGATTGCATTCGCTGTTGTTCAGTTAGTGGAAGCGTTAAAAATGCCACTGATTTCGCCAATTTTTGTTGCTGTCTTTTCATTATTTATTTAATGGCGTACAGGTGCAGATTCGACTCGATTGGTCTGTTTTCCCATTAAGAAATGAAAAGGAAATCGGGGGGAGTGATATATGCACACGCGTTTTAAAATAATGCTGCTGCATAAACATGTGTAAACTGATATTTGCAAATGGCAAATAATGTTTATTATAATTACAAATATTTATTCGCATTTGTCAATTAAGCGCTATTCTATATTCAATTAAACAGCATTCATGGACCATAAAGGCAATCTAGATTTAATTAAATTAAATCCAATTAAAATGGAAATTTTTTTTAACCGTCACCATAAAACGTGTAGACATACTTAATTTGCCAATTGAGTTGCGTAATAGCTTACAGTTATAAAATAAGATTTTAAAACTCTTTAATAAATATGCGTTTAGATTAAGTTAAATTTAAACTTTTTTACTGAATGTTTTAACAAATAAAAGTTTTTAAACAATGATAACCGAAATCAAAAAGACTTTCATAAAAATGAGTATATTTTTGTTTTTTCAAAAACAGATTTTAATATATTTTTTTCAGTATTTTTAAGTTAATAAAAAGCTTATTATTTGATTTTTTCTTTTATTTAAATTGAACAGATATGCACTTTTCTCTTATTAGGTGAATAAATAAATTCTTTAGCTTATATTTTTTTTCATCTAAAACAATAATAAACACTTAAAAACTTAGATCCGAAATGAAAAGCATTTTGTTTACTTAACAATTTGCCAGAAATAAACGTGTCGCTTAAAACTTACTTGTTGTTGACCCAACAAATACACCGCAAACTTTGTCCAGCGCGTGGTTCTCTTTTTGCGGTCCAAAGCGAAAGTTGTTACAGTTTGTTAAGTTGAAATTTATGTTTCAGTTTTATATAATATAATTTATACACAAAGTTGCACACGGTTGGCGTGGATGTCTGGATATACTGACTGCTACAGTTGTGGATATGGATGTGGATTTGGATTCGGATTTGGATGTTGATGTGGGGAAAACTTCACCCAGCTAAAAGTCAATGTCACATGACACGCGCACGATTCACAAACACAGACGCACTTTCGGGGCTTTACAGTTAGTGTGGCTAACAAGTTGAGAGCGCCAACTGGTCAGGAGTTCCAGTTCCCGGCCAGACAATAAAATTTGCGCCATAAATCAATTCGGACTCTCTGCAAGTTGCTGCCGTCTCGTCGACTTTGTTGGTGTTGTTGTTTTTATGGTTGTTGTTTTTGTTGTTTTTGTTGTCGTTATAGTTGTTGTTCCGCTGCAAAATAAGGCTGCAAGTGTCACAGCAACTGGATTGTGATTCTGATTCTGGCTTTGGCTCTGGCTTTTGGCTGCTTTTAGAGACCAGCTAGCTGATCTTGGCCAGTCTGCTGCTGACTAAGATTTATTCGTGGCAACTGGCAACTGGCAACTGGCGACATCGGCTGCTGGCGGGTAACTGCACAAGGCCGACTGGCAGGATGAACCACGGAGCCTGTGTCCCGGCGATTTTCAGCACTTTTCAGTGTTTTCCCATCCGAAAAGGGGGTGGCATTGGCCGTGGCCGTGGCAAAAACACACAAAAAACAACTGAAAAATAAATAAAAATCAGCGGGAATATATGTGTATGTAAGTTTGTATGTACATCCTACATACAGCTACAACAACACGCATACGTATGCAAATTAAAAGGGAGTTGGAAATAAAAATGGAGCAGCAGCCATCAACCGCAGACGTCGACGGCTCTGCCGACTGCAATTTTTTCTAATGAACCGCGTTTTGCACTCAACAAAAAGCGGGGAAATGTCCGCTGATTTTTATACATATATCTTCATTTTTTCTACTCTAAATGGAGTTACATTTTGAGTTAAATACATTTTCAATCATTGGAAGTCAAATTTATAGCTTGACCCATCGAAAGGGCAATCGAAATCTTTATTTTCGCCTGTTTTGTAATCATTAATGTTGAGTTACTTAGATACTATGGGAAATAGTTAACTGAACTGCATATCTACTATACTATAAGTATACTATTAATTTTGGAGGATTTTATTTAAGCATGTTATTCTAAGTTATCTGTAATAAAGTTTTTAGGTAGGTTAAAGCCACCTAAAATTTGATATGATTTCACAAAACTATTTTAATTAATCCCCATTTCCACTTAATGTTTACAAATTGTTTTTAAGTACCAAGTTAATATAAATAGAGTTAGAATTTGTTTCTAATGAAGGGCGATATGCGCTCAAAATCCGGGGAAATGTATTCCACGTTTTTCCATATATATTTTTTCCTTATTTTTTCGCCACCATCATTTCGAGTTTAATTTTGAGCCAAAGCGCAAGTAAATCAAAACCGCAGCAAAAAAAAATGTACCTAGCAACAAAATTCACCAATACCAACCACCCACCCTTCGCCCAGCGCCCAGTACTTGCCACCCCCTATTTTATATACAATTTATGTGAGCGCGGAGAAAAAAAATACGTAAACGAAGGAAAAATAGAGAAATCAACTTTTGAGCCACCCTGCAAAATGAGGGTGAATACACGGCCCACAGAAACCGCCGGCATTTGGCCAAGAAGAAGAGCCGGTCCAAGAAGAAGAAGAAGAAGAAGTGGTGTTGGCGGCGGGAAAAAAAGTGCTAAAAATCCAATATGGCCACAATTTGCCAAGAGAGAGCGAAAGAGAAAAAAAATTGTACATGAAAATGTGCTCGGGCGGTTTTCTTTTTTTCCGCCTCGTATTTTTTCACATTTTTTTTTTTTTTTTTTTTGCCCCCCACGTTTTAATATTATTTGCCCTGGCAACGCAGCGAGACGAACTAAGTAAGTGGGTGGTGTGTGTGGGTGGGTTGACTGTGGGGGTAGTGGGTGGTGGGCTGGCGGATGGGTGGTTCCGTGTGTGGGTGTCGCGCCAGCAAGAAAATGTGGGAAAAAAAACTCCGCCCCCTTTTTAAGACGAGCGTCTGCGCGAAGGTGAAGCCGAAACGCTGGCAGAACGCCAGCAGAATCATCGAGAGAGAGCTCTCACTCACACAGATACAGTGTTACACACTTGGAAACCGAACACACACACACACTCTGATACTTACACACTCAAAGTGGCACCCACACACCCTCACTTTGGCACTCAGAATGAGTAATTAAATGCTTATTAACGGCTCGCTGAGTTTTTTCGCCAGTCGCGCGCTATAATTAAACTCAGTTCTGAGTGGAAGCATTTTGCCGTGTTTTGTAATTGCAACCCCCGATACTTGGGTATTGAGCACTCTAAAAAACCCAACCCTCTAATCGCACCAGATGCACTTTTGCGGCTTTTTTGCAGTTACTTCGCCAAAGATACCGCCTTCATCTTGCTGCCATTTTGAAAATGCGATTGAGTTTGCGGTAATAGAAAAGTGTGTGGGATATTTGGGGTAGATTTATAAAAGATCTATTTGCAATTTTGGTAAATAGAAAATATATTAGAAATACATTATGTAAAAGCGTAGAATGAAAGCAATTACGGGTGTTATATGAGTAGTTTTACAAATATCTATGGTATTTGGGTAATTAAAAATATTTCAAGTCCCAAAAAAAAAACACAAAAGTCACAACAATAAGCTGATTATAATTTAATCAACTCGAGAGTTGAACAAACCCACATTTTTATCAGTCCGTGTGACAAACCACTAAAATAGTATTTCCCCTAAGCTCATTCCATTTTATCTAAACTTGCCCATTGAATTAAATTCGAATTGAATTGTTTCGTTTTTGGCTTTTTATGGTACATCTTTAACGAGTGTTCCATTCCACACACACTCACACACATACAAAACCTAATAATTATTCGGCCTATCAATTCCAAATAGTTTTGGCGGCAATTAAAATCGCTTTATAATGAAAACGTATAAATAAATGCATAAAATGTATTTAATTAAGTTAATTGATTTTGGCCGAAATTGAACGCTTATTTTGCGGCTCATTAAAATGCCATTAAAATTACTTTTGCGTTTAGATTAGTTTTCGGGTTGTTTTGTTGGACGAGGGTCAAAGGGCTCCATTTAGCTTTCGGGTATGTTTAGCATGCGGAATATTAAATCAATTATAGATGCCGTTGTGGGTATTTAGATTCTAAGCTGACGGAATAATGGAATATTTTCTAACTGTTAACTATTTAAAAAAAGTTTTTTTATATACATATGTGACATTTGAAAATTAAATGGAAACAACATTAAATCCTGGCAGTATTATTTTCCTTTTTTCCCAGTGCTCTTAATTTGTGGAAATATATTTTAAATCAATTTTCCGCTTTTGACTCACCTCTTAAATTCCAGCCGAAAGCCATAAAAATTCTCCCTTCTCAATTAAGCATCGATGTGAGCACTTAATTTGCCTTTTGGCCCTGTGCCACTGAAATGCCATTCGGATTCCTTTCGAATGACTCATTTTCAATTGTCCTTTTTGCCTCGAAATGGCATTACACAGATTTGCATAAAAATTGAAACTCTCAAGGAGCCATACACAAACGCACAACGATACCGGAATTAGGAAAACTCATCCTTTCACCTCGGAAAATCCTTTTCTCAAGCACGAACCCTTTCCTTCCTTTTTGCGTTATTTATTTTTTTTTTTGAGGTTTTCACTGGCCGATTTCCTCTCAGTTCTCTGGGGTTTTCTCTCACTGTTCGAGGCGAGCGACGCGGACAAACTGTCGCTAGAAATGTGGAAAGTTGGCATCAATTTTCGGAGGAGTAAAACAAGACAAAGGCCGAAAGCTGCGTGCCATAATTCTCCCGTTTGCCGCTCAGAACTTGTTCAATTTGGTTAAACGAAAGGGTTGAGGGGCTTATGCCACAGCGTTTACGAGAGAGCGTTTGTTTGCGGGGGTTGGCAGCCAGCCACTTCCAAACACCAAAGCGCGAAAAACAATAACACAAAATGCGTCACGCACAACAGAAACAGGAACAGGACTCTCGTTGTCCTGTTGGAAAAGTGCGTCACGGACTGAAGAACACTCATGATGGTTGAAATTGTGTGTGCCAGAGAGAGTGTGGTCAGCGGGGAAGTGTCAAGCGTTTAAAGGGTTAGAGGCAAGGGTTGGCATTCCCGTTCCGTTGGGGGTGCGGCAGGGGGTGCAAAGTGCCACAGGAAGCGACTAAGTGCCAGGCAGATGCACAAACGGCGGGGTGGGGCAGTGTCCATGTACGATGGTCGCGCTCGAAATTAGATTCTATTACGGAAATTTTCATGAAAATTAAATGATCTTTAAAGTAATTAAAGACCATTCTCTTATGAAATTGTAAGCGTTCAAACATTGTTTGCGAAGTTTCAAATCACAATGCAATTTACATACTAATTATTTAGCTGTTTAATTTATTATTTTCCTTAGTGCTTAAACTTCGCTTTGCGCCTAACTCAAAAATCATATTTTATTATGTATTGATATACCTATTATAAAATAATAGAAATGATAATTAGAATAATTTTTCAGAAGTACAATTTTTCTGTAGTAGCGACAAAAGTTTAAGTTCCTTATCATCAAGGCTAAAAACCATTTTTAAATTTAAAAAATGACTCTGATGAATATACATATTATATACAAAAATGCTAAAAATATTCTTTCAAGTTCAATCTTGTTTAGTGAAACCTAAAATAAATTTAGAGAAAATGGTATCCTACAATTAAAGCCCATTGTACAACCACCGCAAAACGTATTCATTGAAATGAGGCAGCTTTTATTTACCCAATGAATCTGTTTAAGCTTGTTAAAAAACGAGAAACAACTTCGGTGAATTTGTAGCCTGCGGCGAAATATATTTCTGAGAGGATATCGCTGATCATTGATCATCTGCCGTGTTTTTCTACCTATCGCGATATAATGAGAAACCAGTTCTACAATCGCAGATAAATAAAGGGTTAACTAAGGGTTGGGTTGCTGGGGCATTAAACTAGAAAGGTGGTCGCGGTCAGGTCAGAAATTTATAAATTTGAATTATTTGAGTAAAAAGCGTTTACCCTACAATCGTTGTGGGAAACACTCACTCAACGAGTAAAAGGGGAAATAAATATAAATTCCACTCGACGGCGATGTTTGCGATGTCTTCGTGTCGAGCGATTTACTCGTTTTTTAGACTCCGCCCACTTTTTGTATTGTTTTGCCGGCTGCTCAGTCGATGTGCGATGTTTGAGTAAAAAGTATCGCGGCGATGTTTTGAGTGAACAAAGTAAATTCGTTGTGAGGGGAAAATTATGAGTCTACGTTCTGAAGCAACTGAGATTTACTGTTCTACGTTCTAGTGATTTTTAGAACTGTTCCCATAAGGTGGGAACAGTATTGAGGTCCTTTGAGCCTTGTTCGCGCTTGGCTCCTAAGGGAATAAAATCTTAGCTGAAAAATGCACTGATTTTGGTTGCTGTCTGGGCTAAAAAATAAACTCAAATTTCAACTTTTTTGTTTTTATTACAGAACTATCAGCAAAAAACAAACATTGCGTTGTAAATATTCTCCTTTTGCACCCAACAAAATCCAAGCACGTTCCTGCTATAAAAAGCCTTTGTAGAAGTCTTAAAATTGCATAGTTTAATTTGAAAACTGCTCTGTAATTGCTGCCTTACATTAACATAATTGATGTGCGTGCCCCCAGAGATATCCCGTCTCCCTGTTGGATTTCGCCCCCATGAACGGCTCACAAAAGCCCAGCAGGTGGTCGATTCTTCTCGTTCGAAGACAAAACAGCAGGAGCGAAATCGCATTGATTCTCATTTGCCTTGTTTACTCCCGTCTGCCAAATCCAATAAGCATTGAACAAATTTGCAATATGCGAATCTGCAGCATCACTCCCGGTTAATTGATTTTATTTGCCGCATGCTCTCTTTCCC